TGTGCCATTCATGTTCATATGTTATTTGTACTTTCAAAAAATAATAAAAAAAGAAAAGAAAAATCCATTCCAAGATGTGTGTCAGTAATGTGGAGTTATAGTAGCATTCCAAATGAGGTTTGTTACACAAAAGGGCTAAGATACTTTCTGTTTGTTGGTCTGCAGATACAGATTTGCTATAAGATTTCTGCCTTTCTAGCATGTTGAATCTCAAGCAGGCAGGGGAGTGGACCCAGATATAAAAAAGCAAAGCCCTTTTCGTTTTGTCAAAGGATGATTTAGGAATTGCTATGGATAGCGCTTGGAAATATATAGGAAACATGTACTTAAAACAATATGTCATTAGTCTAAAGGCCTGCAGTATGGTGATGTTCACAGCTTGACATACCTCTAATAGTGTGGTCAGCATAGTTTGCTCTGGCAAGGTGCTCCTTGGCTAGAATGTAGAAGTATGGAGTGAGTGGGCACTCCAGACATGTCCCATTGCTGATGGAGATTGGATATGACAGTAGTTCACTAGCATAAACTCAGACCATGGAACAGTCATATAATGCCATTTCTTTTTCCTAAAGTATGAGGGAAACCAATCTTCTATAAGATGGCAGTTAAGAATCCCCAGTGAAGACAATCATACACCTTCTTGGCATCAAAAGATAGCAAGCATAGGGGATGGTAGTGTTTATTGCATAGTCTATAGGGGAAATCATTCTTATAGTCTTGTCACGTGCCTCTTCACATGGGAAATGGCCACTGGTTCAGTATTGATCACAGTTGGGATACAGAGTTTCAATCTATTAAAAATAAGTTTGGATATATAGTTTAAGATCTATATTAATCAAGGCGATCAGGTGGTGAATGGAGCACCGCAAACGGTTTTTGCCCTCTTTCGGAATCAGGGAATCATGATTCTCCTGATCTTGTTTAAGGCAATGACACATTGTGGAGACTACATTAAAGGTATTGTACCATCAGGGATAGCATCCCTTTAAAGTGTGTTTTTATAAAAAGCACTGGTAAACCTGTCAGGGCCTGGACTTTTCCCTGATGGTAAGGAGGGGATGGTGTTTTGTATTTCTAGAGTGGAGAATGAAACTGATAAGGCACTATCACCTCTTGAGTAAGATTAGTTCATTTGGTGGCTTCCATGTAAGAAATAAGGCGAGATTGGTAGTAGTGATGAGTCAATGTTCAGGCCAAACACAATTCTGCCCAAACCTGCAGGAAACTGTCACACGATAGCAGGCTGTTGGCCCAAACATCTGTGGCCAGGTCAATAACAAATGGGAAACAAAATCTAGCAGCCAACAAGGCCCCATGTACAACGGGCTTGAAAAACGCTGCTTTTAGGCGTTTGACAATTTATTTCTGCCTGTAAACATACAGTACCTCTATGTTAGTCTATGTGTACATGCACACATATGCATTTATAGGAATATTAGAAGAGGAGCGTTTATAGATAGAAAAAAACATCACAAGCTCATTCAGGGAGGATCTTTTGGGCATAAAAATTTTTTGACACACTTAAATGCATCTAAACGTGCCTAAACACTAGGCTTGTTTCGCGTTGGAGTGTTCCTTCACGCCAATGGCCAAAAAAAAAATATAGTCTGGTCAATGGAATCCTTAAACACTTGATCCCCTTATATGTCTAAACACATGTGCAAAACACAGCTTTAGGCACAGTTTTTAAACAGCTTTTCTCCTGCCAGGAGAAAAGGCATTCAGGGTAGCTGAGCAAACTCTGAGTACTTAGACCTAAATCAGTCAGCGATGGGAATCCATGACAAATTCCTCTGTGTGGTACAAACCTTTTGAACCTAGAATTTGCTTTACTATAACTTACTGTGGGACATCTATGCTAAAGCTTCTCCCTGGTGTTAATGTTTGGATCAAAGACAAGTGACTAAATAAACAACGTAGTCTATTCATATAGCTGGAGGCCTTTACTCCATTTTAGTAAACTAAGACTTTTTTTTTTACACTTTTTCATGTGATATTGATGAATTAGTTAGACCAAACCAAACACGAAGTGTCATTCCATATTCACACTCCTTGCTGGGTGCAGCTCCCCAAGGGCTCATCTTACCCGATTTTCAACAGGATAAAAAAGAAATATGGAACTGCACACTGAAAGCCAATCAATCTCAAACATGACAGGAAGGCTTCAGCTCTATCCTCTCCCAAACCACGCGTGGTTCTGGAGGAGACATTACTGAGGCCTTCCTGTCACAATTGATAAATGAGTGTTACTGTGTATTTTTATTGATGTTGAATTTCCTGCATGGAGCTGATTTTTAGTCTTTTGTAAATGTCTTTCAATCAAAATATAATTCCATATAAGACAGATGATGTGGCACCAGTGTGGAAAGTTATTTTTATATGTCTAGGTATAAGTTCTGAGATCTATTTCCTCTAAATTGTAGCTTTGTTAACATTTGGGATTGAAGATAATTCAGTTCACTGCTTGCCGCCTGCCCACAGTAGTTGTACTGCAAGTGGGCAGCAGCTGCAGGCAGGGTGACATACTGGTACATCACGACCTTTTATCTGGGTTTGGGGCCCATGTGCGCACCCCCTGCCAACCTGTGGTGAGATTCAACACAGCATGGGTTTGGCAGATGATTTCAGCCAATAATTTTGGCTGAAGTCAGCTGATCTGCTGTGTCCAATCACACACAGAGTTCTGTGTTTACATAACACAGACCTCTGTGTACAGGGAACAGCAATCTGGCTGTTTATTCTCCCTGCAAAGCAAAGAGAATAAACAGCCATACAGTAAAGTAAAAGCAGCATATATTACACATTGTTAGGTACACAACCCCTTAAGTGCTCCTAGATGTTAACCCCTCTCCAGTCAGTGTCATTAGTACAATGACAGTGTACAGTATTAGCACTGATCACTGTATTAGTGTTACTGTTGTTGTCGGTGTCAGTTAGTGTTCCTCCCAGCCAGTGTCAGCTAGTGCCAGATTGCCTGTCACACTATCACAGTCCCACTATAAGTCGCTGATCGCCGCCATTACCAGTATAATGCAATAGCTGTATAAATTTCAGTATATACATCGTAGTTTGTAGATGCTACAACTTTCATACAAACCAATTAGTATACACTTATTGGTATTTTTTTAATTTACCAAAGACATGTAGGAGAATACATTTTGGCCTAAATTTATGAAGAAATTTGTTTTTATATTGGATATACTTCATAACGGAAAGTAGAAAATATTTTTTTTTCAAAATCTCTGGTCTTTTTTTTGTTTGTATTGCAAAAGATAAAAAACCCAGTGGTGATCAAATACCACCAAGAGAAAGCTCTATTTGTGTGAAAAAAATAAATACCAAAATATCTTTTGCTTACAGTGATGCATGACCATGCAATTGCCAGTTAGAGTAGCACAGGGCTGAATAGCAAACAAATGCTCTGGTCATGAAGGGGGTAAAACCTTCTGGAGCTCAAGTGCTTAAGGTTTAAACCTGCTTTGAAGTGAACCTGTGGATTTACTATGCACATAAAGTATTAATATATTCTGAACAAGCAGTAAAAGAATTTTTATGCAGGCCCTCCATCACCTCTGTAGCTGCAGGCATTGTAGAACAGAGGCACTGAAATCACAACTCTTCTCCCCTTATTTTCTGTGGAGAGCAGAATCTTGGCAGCATTCCAGCCTTCTTGTGTAAACACACCGCAGGCGTTTGTAAACTGCTACAAATGGACTCTTATCTAACTTCAGAGTTTTTGTGTAATCATTGAGTATCTTTGAGAACTAATAACTTCACAGTGCTAATAGCTAGAGAGGTCAAGGATGGCTTGTTTTAAAGTTTTTTCACTGCTTGTAAAATGTTTAAAGATTTTAAAGTCTGTGGTCTTGGAACTAATGCAATTTAAGTGTCCTTCTGACCTTTTTTTGAGGACAAAACATATTTAGAATAAAAAAAATGTTTGTTATCTACACTTTTGAAAAATCTCTAATGCAATTAGTACCCTTTCTATGGACCAGGCCTACTCTATTACAGAACACTGGCCAGGATGGGCAGATGACACATGTATACACAGATACTAACCTGAAATGCCCTGGAACATTATGTACTGTCATCTACAAATATATATAGCATATTATTTTACTGATGCCACCATGAGTAGTAGTCTAAAAATAGAATTCTATCATAGATGAAAGCACACTGGTAATATTCATGTTTTGAGTTTATTGATATCCGTTACTAATCAGTTTTATGCTTAGTCAGAATGGTTAGATCTTTATTGTACTGGTGCTGTATGAGATTGTTTTATTAACAGGGAAACCTTCATGGGGACATATAAATAACTGAAATCCTTGATAAATATCACTGTGCCCAGAAATAGATTGCACAAACCTGTTTCAAATATTTCCAACAAAATAATATAATAAGATGGTTTCAATAAATTAATTTGAAAAGAATATAGTAACATGTACGCTATATCATCACACATATATTTCTTACAGATGAAATGTCATAAAGAGCCAGAAGAGCTATAACTTTCTGAATCTTCACATTTCCCTGTGTGATCACTTTAATGTTTTTGTTAAATATTATCTCCTCATCTTTGCAGTTAAAACATGCTTAGAATCAGGCTTGATATGTGAATAAATCACCAAATATCCTAATCTTTTCTGGATTCTTTTTTTGTGCGCTAAATACAATTTCCAGAGGGCCAAACAGCAATTTTTAAAAGAAACATCTTCTCTCAAAACTCAAATTTATCTGCTTTTGCTATACGGCAGATACATTTTTATTCAGAGAAAGAGAGACACAGCTTTTTTGCTGAAAGGTCGACAAACTCTGCACTGACCTCAGCCCCCTGCAGGACATTTGTTGACTATTTTTTAAAAAGTTGAGCAGTCCATATAGAAAAGATAACATGTAAAATCTCCAGAACAAACTCAGATTGAAGCTTGAAATAAAGCTGACTGAAGTCTTTAAAAATAAGAAATAGATCTGTGTTGCCTGAAAGAGATCATAAACTATTCTCTCCGGCTTCGTCTCTTGGCCTCCAGTGTTATATCCAGTTGACGCAGTTGCTCAAGAAAGCCAGGGTTGGGGCAAATGTCTCGGTGCTCACTCACTGTGCGTATAGCATCTATTAAACTCAATCCTTCAGAGATCATTAAAAAAGCAAGAGTAAGAGAAGCTGCTCTACTGATCCCCATTGCGCAGTGCACCAACACCTTCCCTGAAAAGACAATGGAAAAAAATATTAAATTATGTAATTTGATTAAATAAAAATTTGAACTGAGTGTTTTAACTTATTAAAGGGAAACTGTCCTGAAAAATACAATATATGTCATTATTTATTCCTGACACAAGTATTCAGATCATGGATTCTGAATATAATCTAGCTTTGGCTGCTGTGTGTTTGTGTTCCACATAAGTGAACAGAAATTCTGAAGCTACAGATGGCCAGGCAGCTAGCCTTTTCAGATGTCGGCCATATTTTTTATAGTATAGGTTTTTTAAATATACTGCATCTTCAGATGACCTGAAAGCTCTTTGTAGCTACGCTGGTTCCCTCAACCTCCCTAATGCTCCACGTATGGGACTTGAAAACAGATAGGCCATGATAACAAATGACCCACAATGGAGTTTCAGCTCCATTGCTGTTCATTCGTTTACTTGGCTCATCTGTTAGAATATAATGATTGTGTATGTGCTATATATTTACATTTCTAATTTATTAGAAATAGATCATTCTAATTTAAAATTGGTAATCAAAAAATAAATTATAATGTGGTAAAAAATCTATATCCTAATGCATTTTCCAGAGACTCTGTCACTTTGCACATACAGGTTCACTAGTTAAGCCACTCCCTGCTTATTCCACAAATGCTAATGTAGCACCCTCCTAGTTAGATAGGGGGAGCTAGCTGACTATTTTGTTAGTCAGAAGGGCTGAATAGCAGCCTGGGCAATAGTAAGCTGAGCCAAATTTGGGTCAGGGCTGCAAGGTTCTGCAGACCAGTTTCTAGCTACCTCCCCTTGCTCTGGAATCTTGGAGAAGTGAAGTGGGGCTGGTCAGCATACTCAAGGGGCTCTGGCCAATTCCCAAACAGGAGGCTGGCATGGAACCAGAGCAGCCCTTAGGTATGACTGAGCCTGCTCAGTAGCAGGACAGTTGGGGTGGAAGATGTGAGGAAGCTGGTATGCAGGAGCTTGGGAGGGGGCACAGTGGGAAGGGGCCTATCTGCAGACAGGAAAGGAGGATCACTCAGCCTCACTGGCCACCAGAGTGAGGACCACCCATAGAGCTAGGAAAGGAGCCAGCCCAGCAGAAGGCCTGAAGGCAGCCACCTACCTAAATCAGCTCGAGGGACTGAGAGTGGGTAGAGTGAAAGTGAGTAGTCCTATACCCTCTGGACAAGTTAGGGGAAAAGAGCACTCTGGTGGGAAACTTTATTAGCTCCTTACCTGGGACTGTTTCATTTAAAGTGATAGTCATCAGATCCCCTTGCCCAGGGATTCCCTCAGGCAGTTGGATAAGGAGAGGGATCTGGGGTGGTACAGCAGGAGAGGCTGGAGAGCTGTCCAAGAAGATTTTCTGCTGTGTAAAGACTTGCACATAGTTGCTAAGGAGTTTGTCCTCAGTTCACCGTTCTTGGGCATCCCGTACACCCCTTACCCCATCCAAGTTCAACACCCCCTAACAAAACATAAAACCAAGCTCCAGGACTGTTAACTGACTCTGAATGCAAGTCTGAGAAAATGTGTGTTGCCTGGCTGAGCAGGACTATGGGGGACCCAAATCATCAGCAACTCCTACAGGGGTTGTGCTACGCTTACCTTTGATGCGCTCCACTGCTACTCCATTTGTCTGCAAAAACATGGGATTTACATTTCTGGATGGTGGGGATATGACTATCTCCCTCCTTTTCCTTTCAGGATAAACTGCTGGGTTCTGTGCATCCAATCATCAGGTCTTAAAGCTTCAGAAGAACTTTTTAACTCTTGTATTAGAAAGGTGAAAGGATGCCCACTTATGTCCTAATGCAGCTTTCACTTCACGTCACATGAACACATGCATAATTTATTGAAATAGAACAGGGTTCTTAACAGGACAACTTAACGTATGTCATTTTATAATTTACCATTAGGAGATTGCAGCCCGGCCCTTATAAATTGTGCAGCTGCAAAGAAGTGAGCGCTCAGGTCGAAATAAGGATGATCATCTGCCTCGACTCCTAAGTAATCAATGTTGAGATCTCTGTAGAACTCTGGCCCAGTGTTAATGCGGTACTTTCCAGAGGCAGCGTTCAGTATGTGGGTGATCCCCATCTCACGAAGAACAGACTTATCCCTGGCAGTAAACCTGTACAAGGAATAATATGAATGAATAGTTGGAAACTCAGAATAGCACGAGTGTGTTGTCTACACTACTATGCCTGTGTGTAATTACTATAAACTGACTGCCTGTGGCCTCTGGGACAATCATAGTTAAGGGGTTCCTGTTCGAACAGCAACATTTACAAAGCCAGCATGAGTTTTAAGCAGCATTATCTCTTTTCTTCATCTCCTAATATTAGTTAAATAATGGCATATACTGTATGATTGCTTGGTATCACTTCAAGGAGTACTTCAGCCAAAACCTTTTTTTAGATCTATGTTGTATAGGGAAGAGCTAGCCCTCTGCGAAGTTCTTGTACAGGAATCCAGGTATGGGTCCTGGAATAGAGATACAATATTTGTCCCCATTATTTGGGTTGTGGTCTCTTTAAGGGGGTGAAAAGAAGCATACTGGGATTCAGTGGGAAACAACTCAGGGATTGTCACCCATGCAGGGTGAAGAGTTCTGGGGTGATCCATCACAAAGAGAGAAAACTGACTCAGCATTCTCAAAATTGTTCTGATATAGGACCCAGAATTTGTAGATCTTGGGTAGGAAAGTGCCTCTAACCCCTGATTATGGCTATTTTGGACCTGAAAGGGTTAACCCATCTGCAAGAGAGGGCTGAAAAGACCATGAAGCAGTCAGCAGGTGCCTATGATGTGTGGTGTGAGAAAAAGCTGTGGAAGGTTGATTAGCTAAGCTCTTGCGACCTTTCTGAACCCCTGGAGCAGGTGAGGACTCCGAACCCTGTTGGCGGACAAGTTTATAATGGTGATGAGTCGAAGTTTTGTTTCGTATACCAGAAGTTTCTGAACTGTTTTGTTTGTTTTTTTATGTTGCACAAAGCTGGTTTTGTTTGATTTTTGGAAAATAAAGACTGTTTTGCTTTTACCAATATGCTTGGGTGTTGATCTGGACCCCCAACATATTATATTACCTATTGTTGCCTGTGTCCCCACATGGAACACTCAATTACAAATGATTTATCCTGGTGATAACTGCCACTGAGAAACAAGGATTTACATTTTTACGAATATCATAGATTCAGGAGTAGAGGGGATATCTTCCAATGAGGGTAGTTCCTCTGGTGACAGGTGGGATTTCCTAACATTGTGATGACTCCAGTTTGCTTTCTGTTGTGTTTATGTTGACATTTAAAGCCTAAGTTTAGGAAATAAAAAAAAAAATAAAATCAGAACAAGATATATTACTTACATTTAATCCGAAGTGTACCTTGTGCTGGTCATATGTCAATTTTTATCCCCCCCCCCCCCTTCTTTTCTGTTATATGAATTCTAAAAAGTTTTTGCAGCGATTTTATTTATTTTTCCTTCTTTTTTCATTTTTTCTAATTTCCTTATCATTTTCTCATGTATTTTTTCATAGTTTGTTTTTTTTTTTTCTTTTTTCCTTTCATCCTCCTCCCCCTTTTTTCTTTTAATTTTTCTATTTGATGAATTCATCCTTTTTTCATTTAATTTTTTTTTTCCAATTAATTTTTTTTCCCTTTTTATTTCTGATTTCTTGCTTTGTATATATATTTTGTTTGATTTTCTTTTCCTTGATTTCTTTGTTTACTTCTTTTGTTTGACTTTTGTTTTCCTTTCCCCACCTTTACACACATACACACACCTGATTCACCTCACAGCTGATGATGCTGAGTATGCATCCCCTAGCAGCCTGTTCTCCTTACGCCTCTGTGACCAAGCCCCGATGGGGGGGTGAAATGCATCAGAGGGTGTGGCTAGTGTGGTGCTGAGGGAACTCAACACATACAACACGCTGGACTCCCAGGGCTGGTCTTGAGTGGCGTCCGCTCCCCCCTACCTTGTGCTGGTGTCACAGCTGTTATCTTCTGATGCAGGGGTTAATACCAACTCTGGACATGTGACAGGCACTCATCATGAGTGCCAACTATGCCTGCCCTCTCCACCCATTTCTCAATTCATAGGCGCTGTACTATAGCTTTAATGAATGAAAAGCGATCTATGAATTGAGGAGGCAGACCTTTAATTCATCCACCTGTCATACATTCATAGAGCACTTTTCATTTATGGAAGCTATAGTAAATCTTTTAGGGACTTATGAATGGAGGAGGCGGGAGGAAAGGGTAGGCATTCTTGGCACTCTTGGTAAGTATTAACTCCACAGTATTGGAAGATTACAGCTGTAGGGATTGAGAGGGGGTGAATGGACTTCAGATTTCAACTACTACAGCTGGCACCAGCACAAGGGACACTTCAGATTAAATGTAAGTATTTTCCCTTGTGCTGATTTTTAAGAAAATGTTTTTTTTATGAATCACAGAAACGCCAGTCTTGGGTTAGAGACCTATGTTATGTAAAGCTGGGAGAGGAGACTGGAGTCTGTATCGTACTATGATCTGGATATCTGATGTCCTAAACCCTCTCTCCATTCCAAGAAATGTTGTCAAATAAATTCAGTTTGTTTAATTGAAATGATTGATGCCCAATGTTTCACGCCCCCACCATCTGCCATTAACGAAACCCTGGAATGAAATGCTAGCACATGTGGCCTCTGGAGTCTGTGTGTGGCTTCTGGGAGGTAATGGGGTACTACACATACATATCATATGATACATCATACAATCAGACTGACTGTGTAAAACTGATATATTATTATTATACAGTATTTATAAAGCGCCAATAGTTTACTCAGCGCTGTACATTACAAAGGGGGACAGAACATGTGACAGAACAATACCAATACAATGCAAAACATAAGGGGATTGAGGGCCCTGCTCTTTTGAGTTTACAATCTAGGAGATATCAGGACTTGTCAGAGCTCTTTCTTCTTTCTTTGATTAAAGTTTATGACCACCTATAATCCATGTAAGGGTCACCTTGATTTAGTGATTTAGGGTCATGTGGTCACTGGTAGGTGGATGGTTAGTCATAACTTTGTATTTAGAAAGCATCAAGCACAGAACATGCTGAGACTTGGGGTCATCTCCACATACATAGTTACACAGCATTAATACAAAACAAACGTTTAACTACCGTAGTTCCTTTAAGCTGCATCCACAATGACCTCTACAAGAAAGTCAAATGAACTTACAAAAATGTACTTGCACACTGTGTGTTAAAGGAAATAAAATAACTACCAGACCTAAATATTTAATTTATTACAGGTACTTATATAGTCCCGTCAATTTATGCAGCACTTTACACACACACACACACACACACACACACACACACACACACACACACACACACACACACACACACACACACACACACACACACACACACACACACACACACACACACACACACACTGTATATATTGCACATTCACATCCCTATTCCTCTAGGAGCATACAATCTAAGGTCCCTAATTCACAATCATGCATACACATACTAGGGCTGATTTAGATTGGAGCCAATTAATCTACCAGCATGTCTTTGGAGTGTGGGAAGAAACTGGAGAACCCTGAGGAAACCCACACAGGCACCAGGAGAACATGCAAACTCCAGGCAGGTGGTGCCATGGTTGGGAATAAAAACTAATGACCCAAGTGCTGCCAAGCGGAAGTGCTAACCATTTAGCCACTGGAACATATCCATATAATACAAGCCTATATTCATGGATGAAATAGAAAACCAGACATTTTAGGGCTGATTCATAACATTTTAAGAAAAGGGAATTAAAACAGTGTTAAACCTAAAAACAAAAAAGGTATTATATTGCAGCTTACCAGTTCTTAGAAGTGGTGGCTGCATTAGTTTTATATATTCAGGCCCCCTTTCCTTTATTTTCACCTGTTGATCATTCCAGTAAGTCTGTTATTTCTCCAACTTCCTTTAACAGACCGAGCTGACCAGCAAAAGTGTCAGTTAGAAGGTTGAAACAAACCATTTAAAACAGACAGTGGTGCTTACATTGACCAGCTTGTATCCATTTATGTAAAACCTTTATCCCAAAAAGAAAAAACAAAACCTGTTGCTGTAACTTTTTAAAATTTGTTGCCGGAAAGTATCCTTAATTTGTTTGTAAGCAGGTGTATTTCCGCTGTTGTATGCATTGCACTGTATAGTTACACAGACAGTTACAGACTGCCTGGGATGGGAAGGGGTTAACTGTGTCTAATCTCTTTTCTCGGGCTTTCTGAGTCCTGCCCCTGCTGTAAACCACATAAATACAAGGGGAGGGCTCAGAGCTCCTCTCTCTTCCACATGGGATTTCAGAGAGGTAGCACTGGTGCAACATGTAAGTCTTGCTGGAGCACATGAGCCCCCTTCTGGGTCACCCTGCTGGGATTCTCCCTGGACTAGCAACCTACCATCCCTGGACGTTTGTGGATTGGACTTTGCTTCCCTAGAAGGTATGAACCTGGTAGCCTGCATTAGTTTGTTATGGCTGGACTCTGTTTCATGTTGAATTGTGTTGCTGAATCTTCAGTAAGGCTGTTAACTGTTTCAAGCCTGGTCCAGGGGCAGACTGACCATTTGGAAACTCGGGCGCTGCCCGAGGGCTTGGGGTCAGTAGAGGGCCCCATGAGATGCCGCTGGTACCATAGGCTTTTTTGAGTTTGGGCAAGGACAAAGGGGCCCCATGATCCCCTATTGCCCAGGGGCTCCATGAGTTGTCAGTCCGCCCCTGGCCTGGTCTGAAGTCATTGAAAGGGGTGCATGATGGTTTCTGGCGTATGGAAGAGCAGGGCCTGTAAAGCACACATGGGATATAGAAGAAAGGCCACTATTAATGGTTAACTCAGTCACACAAGTCGGAAGAGGAATGCAGCTGTTATTCGGTAGGGATGCACCAATACCATTTTTTGATTGGCGAGTATGAGTACCAATACTTTCGGTCAAGTGCTCACCGATAGTAAGTACCGATACTTTGCGGTGCAATTTGCATTTATGAACGCAAATCCCACTGCAATTTGAACAGGAATGCTATTCCTGTCTAATTCTCATGAGGTTTGCTCCTGTGTGAACTATGACAAGCCAGGGTTC